AAAAGTGCCCAGGAGCCCTGCTGTGGCACACCCGTGGTGCCAGGCTAGGGATCAGTGAGTTGGGTGAAGGGTGCTGGCCTCCCACCTTTTCCTTTGCCTTCCAGGTCTGGACCTTACTGCCTGGCTTCTGCACCCGCCCCATGGATGTGCTGGGGGCCTTCAAGGGGCTGGCCCGCACCCTGGGCATGGCCATCAGCGAGCGCCCAGACCTCCGCCCCACCGTGTGCCAGGCCTTGCGCACCCTCATCCATAAAGGCTGCGAGACAGGTTTGGGGGAGACAGACCCTCGTGGTGGGTCCTTGTCTGCTGCAGTGACCCGAAGAGGGGAGATGCTGATCCGTACTCCCCTGTCATCCTCTCCCTAGATGCGGAACGGGCAGAAGTGGGCCGCTTTGCCAAAAATTTCCTGCCCATCCTGTTCAATGTGTACAGCCAGCCCGAGGAGGATGGGAGCAGCAGTGCGCAGCGTCGCTCCGTGCTGGACACCGTCCGTGCTTACCTGACCATCACCGACCCCCAGGTGAGGGGGGCTGGGGCAGTGGGGCAGGCTGTGCTGGTTTGGGCCAGCACCTCCCAGCCGTACCCAGTCTGATGAGGCTGTGGTGAGTGCCTGACTGGAGAGGACAGGAAGAAAGAAGCTGAGCAGAGAGCAGCCCTTCCTGCCCTTGTGAGGAGGGAGCCCTTCCCAGCTGTCAGGCTGGGATTTCCCAATCTTGCAGCCGCATCTGGCGCATCATGCATGAGCCCTTTGTGAATTTGTCCAGCTCTTTTTGGGCCTGCTGGTGCTTCTGGTCTCCACAAAGTCCTGTGGCAAGGCTTTGCCAGGTGGATTGCAAACTCTTGTAAAAGCACTCCCTTCGGTCAGTTCTGATCCCATTCTGTGTGCCTGTCCTGCAGATGGTGTGTGGGTTCCTGCAGAAAGCCAGCACGAAGCTGACCAGTCCTGAGAGCTCCGAATTTGTCAGGTAGCACCCGGGGGCTGGTGCTAATGGGTAAAGCTGCCAGCTTTCTCCTGGTGAGCAGTGCGAGGGCACTCATAGTGTCCTGTGTGGGATGTGCCGCTCTTGTGCATCCGATGAGACTTGCAGCCAGAGTCCCAGCTTGGTCGGGCAGTGTTAGTGATGCTGCAGGCACCCACCTGCATGTGCTTCTCTGCTACAGACTCTCCATCCTGGACCTGGTGGTGGCAATGGCACCTTACGCTGATGAGCAGTCCCTGGACTCCCTGTACCGCACCATTCAGCCTTCCCTCCAGGTGAGTCGACCCCCAGCCCTGATGGAGACAGGGAGTGCAGTGAGGCACCTTCTGCTTGCTGCCAGCTTGGACCTGTGCTCTGGGGGGCTGAGCAGCTGCTGTAGGGGACAGGTCTCTGCCGGGTGGCATGGAGTGCTGTGGGGGTCCCTTCAGACACCGTAGCGAGGGGCTGCCTTGACAGCAGGGGCATGTTGGCTGTCCCTGCAGAGCAAGGAGCACAGCATGCAGAAGAAGGCGTACCGCGTGCTGGAGGAGGTGTGTGCTGCTCCCCATGCTCCCTGCCAGGCCTTCATCCGCTCCCACCTGAAGGATCTGCAGGCAGTGCTGCTGGACTCGCTCAAGAGTGCGGCATCCCCAGCCAAGAGGGTGAGAGCAAGGGCTGCAGTGGTGGAGCTTAGCTGCTGCTGGGAGGGGGGCGGCTGGGGGAGGCGGGGGGGGGGGGCGCGGTTGGTGCAGCCGGGTGTGTGTCCCTGGGTGTACCAGTGCTGGGCTGTTTCTTTCCACAGCCCCGGCTGAAATGCCTGTTCCACATCGTGAAGCAGCTCTCTGCGGAGCATGAGCCCTTCGTCACTGCCCTGGTCCCAGAGGTGAGCATAGTCCCTGGGGGGACCTGGCTGGTTCTGGCTGGAGGGATGACAGCAGTGATGGGTTGTGCTGGTGTGCCTCCAGGTCATCCTGTGCACCAAGGAGGTGTCAGTGGGAGCCCGCAAGAATGCTTTCATGCTGGTCGTGGAGATGGGACATGCCTTCATCCGCTTTGGGCCTACCCCACAAGGTGAGCTTCTTTGCTCAGCCCCATGGCTTCTCTGGCCTCAGGGGGATGGGACCCACACCCAGCACCCCACTGAAAGGGGCCAGTGATGTTGCTGGGTAGAGGGTCAGCGGAGGCCTGAGTCATCCCCCTCTTGCAGAGGCCATGCAGCGGTTCCTGCTCCTGGTCTATGCGGGGCTCACAGGCTCGGTTACCATGATCAGCTGCACAGTGCTGGCTCTGACCCGCCTGTTCTTCGAGTTCAAAGGTGAGCAGGAGGGCTCGGGGGACGGGGGCAGCACAGTGGGACAAGGCAGCACCCTCCGGCGAAGGCGGGTGCCAGGAGGAGGCCTGCTGTGGTTGAGCCCTGCTGCAACTGCAGATCACCTGGAGCTGAGCGTGGTGGAGCAGCTCCTGCAGAACATCTGCCTGCTGCTGGCCTCCCGCACACGAGATGTGGTGAAGGCGGCCCTGGGCTTCCTCAAGGTCACACTGCTGCTGGTGGACACCAAGCTACTGGCCAAGCATGTCCAGGAGATGGTGAGATCCTGTGCAGGGTGCTCCGAGCAGGGTGGCAGGGCAGAGCTGGGGCTGCCTTGGGCAGCCGCGGGCATCTCCAGCTGCACCCTGCTTCTGCTCAGGAGCCAGGGGCGCAAACTTGGTCTCGGTGGCTGAAAAGGCAGTGAGGAGGTCCCTCTCCTGAATGCTGGCATGGACCTGCCAGAGAACCCCCATGAACCAGCCCTGCCAAGCAGGGAGACCTCCCCACAGCCCTGCCTGGGGTGGGCGTAGGGAGATGGCAGCAGGGTGAGCAAGGTGGCTGTGCAGGGGATGGGTGAGAGGCTGGGTGCCCAGGGCAGGGTGTTTTGGTCTCGAGGGTCTCTGTTCTGGCAGCTGGAGGCCGTGGGGAACCTTTCGGACGACATGAGACGCCACTTCCGTATGAAGCTGCGAAACCTCTTCACGAAGTTCATCCGCAAGTTTGGGTGAGCCAGGAGCTCCTCGGTTGTGCTGGAACCATGCTGGGGCAACAGGGGAGCTCGCTGGGAAGTAGTGCGGGAAGAGGTGGGCACTAACCGCTCTCTGTGTGCTCCTCAGCTTCGAGCTGGTGAAGGGGCTGCTGCCAGCCGAGTACCACAAGGTGCTGGTGAACATCCGCAAGGCAGAAGCCCGGAGCCGCAAGCAGCGTGCCTTGAGGCAGGCGGCTGCGGATACGGAAGAAGAGGAGGAACTACCAGCACAGCCCAGAGGAGACAGGTGAAGATGAGCCACGGGTGAAGAAGTAGCAGCCCCATCGGATCTGCTCAGCTGGTGCCTCTAGAGATGTGGGGGACGTCTCCAGGGCTGCTGTGTGTTGTGAGGCAAGCTGGGCTCTGCACCCCTGGGCTTGTTCTGTTTCCATCATCCTCTCTGCTTTTTACCCAGCATGGAGGAGATCCTGGCTGACTCGGAGGACGAGGAGGAGGAAGAGGAGGAACGGCAGCAGAGCAAGGAGCGGAGGAAGCAAGCACGGCAGAAGGGCCAGGCCTGGCTGAAGGAAGGGGAAGAGGATGAGCCTCTCAACTTCCTGGACCCCAACGTGTCCCAGCGGGTGCTGGGTGAGGAGCAGAGCTTTGGATGTGGCTGGGGTGGGATGGATGGGGTGGGGGCTGCTGTGATGCACAGAGGCCCTGGGGGTACAGTTGCTCCTGGGAGCAGGTCCTTCCCCAGGCCCTGACCCATCTCTCTGTGAGCAGCCACCAAGCCAGGCCCCAAGCGGTCCAGAGGAGTGAGTCATGACTTCCAGGTGTCTGAGGATGGACGCCTGATCATCCATGAAGAGGAGGAGGAGGTGGACGATGATGAAGCCAAAGGTACTGCTTGGTCTGGTGCAGGGCCACACTAGACTTGCTCTGGTACTCCGAATGGTTTTCTTCCTGCCACCTGTACATGGGAGCTTGAGGGAGATGTGGGTGGAAGCAGGAGGGGTTGGTATGGCCCTGTGTCACACCCAGTGGCTCTCTTCTGGGCCACTGCCACCCAGGGGAGGCAGCCCCCGCCATCACCAGGAGCGTGCTGATGGGGTCATGGCCACCAGTGCTGGTTGAGCAGGGGCACCTTCCTCCTGCAGCCCACCCCAGGGGCTAGCATGGTACCAGGGCTCTCCTGTGCCTGCATCCTGCACTGACTCTCTTGTCCTGTACCATAGGAGCAGACGAGGAGATGGCAGACGTGCTGCAAGATGTGGGTCTCCGTAGTGTGAGTAGGGGGCTCATGGTCCTGAGGAGATGCTGGGGGAACTCAGCTGTGCCAAACCCCTGCCTGTGCTGCAGCAGCTGCAGTTCTGCCCAAGGGGCCAGCAGGGACACAGGGCAAGCACCAGCTCCTTGGAGGGGTGCAGGAGGCTGGCTGGGGACAGGGATGTGTGCAGGCTGCCTGGAAGGTTTCTGGGCCCCCATGGGAGGAAGCAGGAGGTCAGGGGTCCATGGGAGGGCAGAACTGTAAGGACAAGCCAGCTGCAGGGTCCCCTCTGCCTTCTTCTACAGAAGAAAAGCCAGAAGCGTCGGTTCAGAGAGGAGCCAGATGATGAGGAACCTGAGGCCGGGACCTACCCTCAGTACAGAGGTAAGTTCTCTGCCTGTGCCCAGTCTGGGGCTCCCCAGGGAGGCAGAACCACGTACCCATCTTGCTGGGCTGCTCCAGGGCAGCTGGAGCAGAGATCTTTGCTTGTGGGGAATGGTCACAGTTCTGTGCTGTCCTCAAACCCAAGAGCTGGAGGCAAAAATAGGAACAGCTCCCCCAGCCTGGAACTGGGAAGGGGAAGCCCTGGGACCCAATTCCAACATGCATTCCCTGTTTTCCAGCCGGAGGCTCTGGGATCCACCGGCAGCTGAACAAGGAGCCAGCCTTTGGTGCAGAGTACAGATCCAAGGTGAGGGACCCAGGGGGTCACAGGGTTTGGATGGGGGGATGCCTGGGGCTTTGCTGGGGCAGGAAGGACCATTTGTTGGGGGTCTGGTCCAGTAGCACCAAGGCTGAAGGAGATCTGTGTTCCAAGAGGAGGTGCCAGACACTCAGTAGCTGTGAACGTTTCCAGCCTATCTTGGAGTCCCTGTCCTGCCCTTGCCGTGGCCAGTTCCCACTAACTGCTCAAAGCAGGTGTCTGTAGCATCATCTGGGTGGGAGATCAGCTCCCAGGGCCATGTGCTCAGCTGGCACCCCACTGCAACATAGTCTTTGGGATGGCCAGGTGGCAGGGTTGCGCCAGAACAGGACACATGCATCTCCCCTGGTGCTGCATCTTCTCCCATGTCACTATCTTCCACAGAAAGGTAAAGGCGACGTGAAGAAGAAGGGCCAGCTTGACCCCTACGCCTACATCCCCTTGAACAGAGCTAGACTCAACAAAAGGTGAGGCTAGCTGGGAAGGGCACAGGGTTTGGAACAGGGGCAAAACTCAGGTTTGATCCTGCTTTTTGTTGTTACGGGGGTTTTGTGGCTCTGGGAGCTCCCTACCAGCCTCTGTGCTGCTGCATGCGGAGCTTGGAGCATCCATCCCTGTGCGTCAGGTGTGCCCAGTGCCTGCACTAACCCAGCCTCCTGCTCCTTCCTCCCTCCAGGAAGCGGGCGAAAATGCAGGGCCAGTTCAAAGGCCTGATGAAGGGAGCCCAGCGTGGGGCCAAGGCTGGCCGCAGGAACCGTCTGAAGGCCCAACGTCCCTGAGGAGCCTCAGGTGCTCAGTGTGCACCTGTCCAAGGACAGACAACACCCTGTGACCTCTGGGCACCGGGGGACAGGGGCTTCACGAGTGGAGCAGCAGGGACTCCTCTGCAGAAGGTGGCCTGCATCTGTTTGAGACTCCCTGGGAAGCCACCCCATTGTATTACGGACTCATGGCTCAAGCCCTGCCCTCCTGTGCCTGGAGGAAGGTGCTGGGTTTGCCTGGTGCAGGGGGTGTGTGTGTGAGAGCAAGTAACGTGTAACAAATTCTTTATATTGATAAATACCCACTGTTCCTACCCAGCCCAGATTCTTTCTTTTCTTCCCATAAGAGCTGTGCACACCTGTGCTCTGCCTGCTGCTTCGGTGCAGCGGGTCCTTCTGCCACTGCAGCACTGCACCCGATGGGGCTCATGCCTGCAGCAGCCTGGGATGTGGAGCCGGAGCCCTCTCCCTGGTGTGGGGCTTGACTGGGAGCTGCCAGGAGGAATGCTGCGGCACAGAGCAGTGAGGCAGTGCCCGTGTCCTGTGCCTTCCTGGCATGTGTGCAGTAGGGCTGAGTCCTGGAGTTGGCCAGAGAAAGAAGCCAGAGGTGGTGAAGTCCTTTGCTTACAATCAGCTTTGTTATGCAAACACCCTCTTGGTAGGATCTTCTGCTCTATACCATTGGCGAGGGGATCTGCCATGGTGGGAGTGTCTGCCATTTGGCTGCCACTGGTTTCTGTCCTGCCTCAGCTTTTCCTGTATCAGCCATCCCTGGTTGCCAAGCAGGAACAGTTCACTCCAAATTTCTTCAAATTGGCTGGAAAACTGCTACTGCAAACCTTCATGCTTTGCCCTTTCCCTTACCTGTGAGAGCCGAGAGCTACCCTTTCCTCTGCTCTGACCACCTCCTGCCAGCTAGACCTGAGCAGCACAAATAACCCTGGACCTTTTTAGCTGTCCAGCCATCTCAGGATGGCCTGAGCATCTGGTTTTGCCTGGTTACTCCTGCACTGAGTGCAAAAGGTGGTGTTTGGCCAAAGCATGCTGAAGAGAATGGAGCTGAGGTTAGTGGATACAGGTCCTATTGCTTACACTGCAAAGAACATGTATTTGTGAATGTAGCTGGCATTCCCTTCCTTTTCTTTATTAGAAAGCCGTTAGTCCTTTGTCATTTCTTACTGTGGTAGCTTACATGCTGGAATTGCAATGCTTCTCAGTTTCCTAATAAGCTAAAGGGATTGTGCTTGTTTAGCTTCTTACTGCCGGCTTCTTTCTGGAGGCTGCAAATCCAGTTTTGTGGCTCTGTTATGTGCTTTTTGTTTTTTTTTTCCAAGATCCTCTTAAAAGCCTGGGGGTGGAGGAGGAGCTCTTGTACTGGTATTGGTCCTGCCTTGTCAGAAGTGCTGTCCCCTTCCTGCTTTCCCACCCAGGCAGGGCTCTCCATTGGACCCTTGAGCCCCAGGGCCATGTTGAGGTGCTGCTGCTCTAATCCTGCCAGAAGGGCGCCCACAGCCTGGCTTACAGGGCAGGCATCTCCAGAAGCACCTCCTGACCATGTTCAGTCAGCAACAGCTACATCCATCTTGAGCTGCCTGCAGCCTTGGCCTGATGCCCTCCCTCCCCTGAGAGCAGGACAGGGGGAGACAGGCAGCAGTCACCTTCTGAGCCCCCCAACACCTGTAACGTGTGGCTATTTGTCTTCCTGCTTGCTTTTCTCTCCTTGGAGACAGGGCCTGGAGAAGGCTGTAGCTAATTCATTTAAAAGCTCCAGATTACTCACCGTATTGTTCTTCATTTGCATGTTGTTGCTTAAATTAGTGCATGCCTGCATGGAGCAGAAGAGTTTCATTAGCACAGAGGATGGTGTTCGCCTGAGCCAGTGTCCAGAGAACAGATTCTTCTGCAACAACATCTTGTTAATCAGCTAATTAATCATGTAATGCAATAGAAACCCTTGGAGAGGAGATGTCATCCTGCCCGGGGAGGCTGGCTGCGAGTCAAGCCTGCTCCCCACCAGCAGCTGTTCCTGGCAGGGAGCAGAGCTGTGTCTTGGTGGGCCCGCAGGAGCCTAAGCACAGCTTTCTGCTATGGGGCAGGGCGTGGGGTGATGTGGAATCCTGCCTTCTGCAGATACCAGCAACAAATATTTTGCAGTTTCCCACAGAGAAGTGCAAGACGGACCTGGAGAGATACTTGGCTTTTGTTACTCAAGCTGGGAGGTGGCTGGAGGCTATTTCTTCACCCAGGATGCCGTTAAACCATGCAATGCCTTTTCGCAGGCCACAGCAGGCACCAACAGTGTACCCCTGTTCAGCTACCCTTGCGCAGGAAATTGTCGCAAAGGGCTCTTACCTTTGCAGGTACCAGCTGCAAAGCAGGAGGTCTCCAAGTCGTGGGCTGCAGGCATACTAGGCATGCTTGAGGAGAGGCTGGCAGGACTAACAGGCTGCCCTTGGTGCTGGCTGGGTGGCCCCTGGACTGGCTGGGACAGTTGCAGATGCCCACCCTGAGCCTTAAGGCTTAAAATCAGGAGAAGGAGGAAAACATCATCATATCTTTACCCTAGAAGCTACCTACCTGGGTTGTGTCCACTGCGGCATGCTGCTGAGAGGGACAAACATGCTCCGTGGGGCTGTGCCCGCGCAGCATCCAGCTGGACCATCACCTCCACCAAGCATGCTGCAGCACCTTTGGGGCTCCCCACAGTTACACCTGGGTCTCCTCAGTTCAAAGTCAGGATTTTGCACACACCAAGGTGCAGGGATGGGAAAACCCTCTAGGGAGCAGCAGTATAAGAGGAAACTTGGTGTTTATGCTAAAATGATTGGCACTAAGATAATTAAGTGTGGAGGTTTAAAATGCCAAGGGACCACTCCAGCTGAAATCTAGTCAATTAAAAAAATGTCAGATTAATTCCTAGTCCCCTCAGCACTCTGATCTACAGTTTCATTTGTTTCTAAAAAGTTGTCTGTCTTTTCTTAGTTCCTACCTGAACACTGTGCAAACCCAGGTGCAGAAAGTGTGCAGGGCCACAGGGACCCTGGCTGAGGACAAGGTAGGTGCTACCACCCACAAAGGAAAAAAAAAAAAAAAGAAATAAAGCTGCTTTTTCAGTGTCTCTGTTCCTTTAATTTCTCTTTGATGGCAAATGAAGATAAAAAATATTCAAGCTGAGATGTGAGTGGAGTTTTATGGTGTAACTCATGCTCCTCGGAGCACTTTCTGTGACCGCAGCAGACCCTGCCGCACTGGTTATGTGTAAGCCACATTTAAGTTTCCTTGAAATAAAATGGTTGCAACTTGTATTCTTCTGCTGAA